CCTGCAACTACACCTACAAGGTTAACAAGAAGTCAGTCCAAAGGTCTTACACCTACCAAGGAATTGGGGCCAAAAAGGACCCAAAAAGTTGTGAACAAGAGCAAGACATTGAGACTGAAGAGGAAACTAGAGGTATTAATAATACTCATTTTCTTGTGATTTTTTCCCTATATGTTTCAATCTGTTGAAATGATATCCTTTATTATTCTATTCATAGGTGTCCAGGAAACATAATCCATTAACTCAAGGTGCAAGCTTTTCAACAGCAAAAGGACCTGTTGTGAACAAGCAGGTGGTGCAATCTCAGCCTGAGCCAGAGATATTGGGAACATATTGGGTTACTACTGGTGGGAGCATAGTGGATAAGTAGGTCTTAGTTCTTTTGATAGATGCTGTGGATTTTGGAACTGTAATGGTTGTGGTTGGTTTTTGGATGTGGTTCATAAGTTTGTTGAACTCAGATAATGGGTGTTAGATTTTGGATTGGATTTAATGGTTGGTTTTGGATATATTATGGTTAGTTTTTGGATCTATTTTGGTTATTGACTTGGTTGTTGGCATTGTAAAAACCTGTTGGGAATATTGTTGGAATGGAAGGATTATGTCTATTACATAATGTGCAAATTCTGTTTTGTGTTATGCCATTGTAAGAAACTTTTGGTCATCTATTGTTTTCTTATTTATGTTATACACACAACCATTCACACATCAACAGATACAAAAAGGCATCAACACTGTATATGTTTGAACAACCAAAATGGTGTTTGATATGTTTGAACAACCAAAATGGTGTTTGATTATAACCAAAAGAGTTTGGACAACACACATTAGCATTACCATTACAGAACCACAAATACAAAAGACATCAACACTACCTAATACATAAGAGAACCACAAACCTAAAAGCTTAGAAAACACTACATCATGCAATATATGATCACCCAAGATATCAGAATTACAATCCACAACCAACGCTCACGAACACTTTTCCTCTTCAAACACAATTCAAGATTGGCCCTTTCTTCCATGACATCTTCAATACAAAGATTGGCCTCTTTCAAATCTGATTGAAGTTTCTTCACATCAGATTGAAGTTTCTTCACATCTACTTCAAGAATTTGAGCTTCACTTTCAAATCTGTTGGCACGTTTCAAAAGGCCGGGAATAATTTCACAAGCTCTAGGGCACAAAGGTGGTTCAATCCACGAAAAATATATACAACCACCATCATCCTATAATTTTCAGTTACAGAAACAAATTAATTTAAGGAGAAAAATCGAGCTTATTGAATTCGCCCAATTTTTGGAATTAGGGTTCACCGAATTTGCCCAAATTCATAAATTAGGGTTTCCCAAATTCATCACTTACCCGATTTTTTGCGCATGTATTGTATCTCCTTCCTGGATTTTGAACACTCCACGATGTTTTCGTAACAACATTCATCCCGCAGTTGCATAGTTGATCCATTGCCGCCGTCTCCAACCTAATTTTTCGCGAAGAAGAAGAATGAAGAACAGGATACGCGCCTTTGTTTTAATAAATCTGGTAAGACGATGAAATGACAAAATTAGCCTTCATATGTAATGCAAAATGGCAATTTTACCCTCAAATATGGAGCGTGCGACTCGCACGCTCGCTTTTCTGGTGGAAAACGAGTGGAAAACGGCTGGAGGTTGCGATACAGGCAAAGCCGTGTATTAAAGGTTGCAATATAGTACAAAATTTTGTTTAGGTTGCAAATCCACAAAACGCGATTAGTACAGGTTGCATAAAATTATTTACCCTATTATTTATATTGAAAATGACATGTGTTACCTATACGATGTAACCATCATGCATTATAATAATTTTTTAATTCGTATCATATAAAAAATTTATATATAAATTTATTTAACTCATAGATTATTTGATTACTTTTAATTAGTATTAATAGACAATTATTGTTTATGATTATGAAAACTAATAACAAGTACTAAATATAATAACTTTTAACATATATTTCTAACTTGAGTTAATCACGCGTTTTATAATTTTTTAAAATTCTAATAAATATAAACAAAAAATTTAAATCTTTTGTGCTACTCTAACGCAACACGAAAAATCGACATATAAATTAGAGCACAAGATTCAATACATCCTTTTTATATATAATTTTCGAATGTGCTGATTTTAAGTGACAAGTTCACACGTTTGGTGATCCTGTGAAGCAAATTTTTAAGTTTTGTTGTTTGGCATATATGAATTTCAATTTATTTCTAATTCGAATGTAACTAGGAATGGAATATTCATAAATATATTAAATATTTATGGTCCTTTTTAAGAACATTAATTATGTTTTTAATATCATTTATATTGTAAACGTAGTTTATAATGTATAATTTTTTTCTCAGTCTTTCTTTCTTCCTCATATTTATTTTAAAATTATAATAAATTACTAACTTAAAATATAAATATATTTAAAAGTTAATAATTTTTTTATATATTAAATATCTTTTTATTTATAATATATCAAATTAAACTTATTTTGATGAACTTCGATTTGAAATATATAATATACATACAAAACAAATAAAATATTTTATTTATCTTCATAATTAAAATTAAATTACCTATTAATATTAATTCAAAAAAAAAAAAATACTTAAACTAACTTAACTACAAAGTATTTATATGCTATAAATTAAAAAAATTATAATATAATATAGTAAGTCGTGTAAGTGACGATTACATTTTATATATAAATAATAATATATTTTTTCAAAGAGTATTTAAAAACTAAAACAGTTTTGTAGTTTTATTATTTAATTTTAAATATAATTTTACCCGTGTAATAGTGTTGTTGAGCCGAGATCGATCCGAGACGAGTCAGACTCGTATAACTTGAGTTCGAGGCCTTAACGAGCCGAACTTGAGCGCATCTAAAGCTCGTTTGGTTAACGAGTCAAGCTCGACTCGGCGTGAAAAGAAAATTTTTATATAATATTTTATAATTCGACTCGTTAAAACTCGAGATTGACTCGTTACGGCTCGAGTCCGAGGCCTTAACGAGCGGAATTCAAGCTCGATTTCTGATTTATTTAACAAGGCTCGTTAAGAGCTCGAGCACTCTAAACTCGAGCTCAGCTCGTTTACAGACATACCGAGTAATACACGAGTATTCTAGTAGTAAAACAAATGTTTAACCCACTATAAGTTGATAATGCCAAAGAGGAAAAAGAAAAACATAGAACAAAATATTTATAAGGTAAATCAAATTGAACAAAAATATTACTGCTGATTGTCAAACGCGATATATTCACTTCCCTTGGAAATTTCAATAAACGCGACACGGTTCCCTCTAAATCCCCGAAAAGGACTGCAAATACCGATACACTTCTTCAAACCCTCGTCTGCTCGTCAGCTCACCAAGTCCGTTGAATTCAAAATCGGATTTCGAAATCGATGTTCGCCATTTTTCGTGGCAGACGACTCAGGCTCCCTCCAGATCTCTCTATTTTCGCCTCCTCTCAATTTCGGACTTTTGAAAATGCAATCTTTTCAAGGCCGTTCACCACCGGGAGATCACCGCAAGGTGTTCGCGAAAATGACTCTGAGAAATCCTTCACCTTCTCCTACCTCGTCAACTCATGCGGGTTGGCTCCAGACGCTGCCGTCCGCGCCTCCAGTAAACTCCAGCTGAAATCGCCTGAAAACCCAGACGCGGTCTTGAATCTCCTCAGAGAGTACGGGTTCACGGCCGCCGACATCACTATGATGCTCTCCCGGTGGCCAAACATTCTTGCTGCCTGCCCAGACAAAACCCTTTTGCCCAAGCTCGAATTTTTCACCTCCGTTGGTGTCCCACTCCCCATCCTGGCCAGCAGGCTGTCCAGGAACCCTTCCATCTTATGGCGCAGCCTTGAGAGCGCAATCATCCCCTTATACGATTTCCTGAAAAACCTGCTCGGGTCGGATGAGGGGGCCGTTCAAGTCTTTAAACAGGCTCCCCAGTTCTTCGGCTGGGGCCGGGTCGATGACCTCTCGTCCAATCTCTCGTCCAACCTCTCGTTTCTTTTGGACCGTGGGGTCCCTCGGCCATCTCTCGTGCCACTGGTCACGCGCCAGCCAACAATTCTCATGGCTCCTCAGGAGAAGTTATCCTCGTGCGTGGGTCAAGCAATAGAAATGGGGTTTGATGTGTCCAATAGTGCATTTTTGAAGGCCATTCAGGTTTTGATGGGTTTGAATGAGTCGACCCTTAAGCGCAAGATGGAGGTTTATAGAAAGTGCGGCTGGTCGGAATCCGACATCAGGACCGCCTTTCTGAGTCAGCCGCTCTGTATGGCCTTGTCCGAGAAGAAGATATTGAAGAGTATGGCTTTTCTCGTTGATAAATTCAGGTTTGCACCAGGTGATGTGGCTCGGCATTCTTTGCTTCTCGGGTACAGCGTCGAAAAGAGAATGAAGCCGAGATGGGCGGTTGCAACTGTTTTGAGTGAGAAGGGGCTGAAGAATGCAGCTGTCACGTCCTTGCTAATAGTGTCCGAGAAGACTTTCTTGAAGACCTATATCGAGAAGTACGTGAAGGAGGTTCCCGAACTTTTAGACATATATCGAGGTAATCAAATCCTGGCTTGCACTTCCTGAATTGGTTTCCGGTCGATTGGTGATGTTAGTTGATGATTTGTTTAGTTGAATTAGGAGAATTATTTCCAGATTCTTGTTTTTTATGTTACATCTATAATCCTCTTTGGTTGAACTGGAGTTGCAGAACAGTATTTTGACGAGTTAGTTGATGGTTTTCTGTGAGTAGCTAATAGCTATATATACATTAGTATGAGAAGTAAATTGGGTTTCTTAGCCAGATATTCTTTTTCTTCATAATCTTTTGAAGTATTTTCTGAAGCCCAAACATCTTTTTTCGTTGATGAAATTGTTTGTTGACTTTGGAGCCTAATTTCCCGAATCTTGTTTTTTATGTTACATTCGTAATTTTCTTTGGTTGCACTGGAGTTGCTTTCACTCTTTTGATGAGTTGGTTGATGTTTTCTGTTAGTACTTAGTAGCTATACATACACTAATATGAGAAGCAAATTGTGTTCCTTAGCCAGAACCAGATGTTCTTCTTCTCTTTTGAAGTATTTTCCGAAGCCCAAACATCTTTGGATTTTCTCACCCCTTTGACAATCATGCTTAGAGTTGGAGCATAGTATAATGTCCTTACATTAATGCTCAAAACCAAAGTAAAAGATGACCATCTTATCAGCCCAAGTCGACCATAAATCATTGGAAGTCCTAATTGAACTTCACACATATAGAGTGTTTCGTCTAGTCTGTTATGTTAAGTATGAGACTTCTACACTAGAAATCATTATACGCCAAACATCTGGCTCCATACGCTACATGAATCTATGTCTTCCTGAGGAATAACTGAAGGGTCTTTCGTGAGGAAACGAGAAAGATAAAGGGTGGTACGATAAAATAACACCTTTTGTTATCACCTCTTAATATCATAGCCATTAAATTTTGGCGGTCCCTTGCCTTGGACGGGGGTGGCCACCATCCGAGTGAATGAATTGATAGCCGGCGTAGAACTTGGCCTAGCAATTGAAATACGCTTGGTTTCTTCAGTTGCCATGTTATGAACTCACCAAATTTCGCCTTAAAATTTTTATTTGATGGCATGTGATATTCAAGAAAATGATTAAGGAATATGAAGAAAATATAAGCAAAAATGAAAATCGAGGCATGCAGTAATTGCGTTTTCCTTAAAACAAAATTGCTCTGAAAAATACTTTTCACTCACGGTTAGATGCCTTCAAGACAAAGTTTTGACTTGTATATTACATATACTTTAAATATACAAGTTTGAAGTTTTGAACAATACTAATATTTGAAATACTGAATGAAAAATTGAATAGTACAATATGCTATATAAACTTTTAAAAATGTAATGTAAGAGCTCTTTAATTGCAATTGCATTGAATGATTCATGCATGAGAGTATTTATAGATGAGTAATGCTATAAAGCCAACTTGAGTTACAACTTGGGTTACAACATCATTGTAACTGTATTATTTAATAATTTTTTGATAATACATTTACACTTGGGTTGTAATCCAAGTTGTCACCCAAGTTGACCAAATAGCATTATTCTTTATAGATATAGGGGAACATCTCAAGAGGTTTAAGTGTTAAAACACAACTTTTGGGACATGCCTGGACGAGAATGGACATACTCGAAAGTCAAAGGGACGCGACCCGTGTGGGTCTCGACAAGTGTTGTCCAGTTGAAAATTGGAATAAGAATAAGATGCTAGCAGGTATCACGGGCGGAGCCAGTTGCACCCACGTGCCGTGAGCCCGACGCGCTCATTCGGACTCCAAATCGTGACCAATTTTTTCCTACTTGTCTCCATTGAACCCTATTAGAGTTCTAGTATGCTCAATGCATGATTACAACTCGTTAGATATGCCCGAGTATTTGTCAAATACCAAATGCTTGCACAGTTAACAATTTTTTAGTTACTTGAAGCTTTTCAAGTGAATTTTTTTAACCTCCCAAACTATATTAATTTTAGAGTTTGTCTTACGAACTTTTTTTTTTTTATTACAATTTGTCTCCCATAACTAAATTGAAATTCCTAATATGGCACAAAAAGTTTTTAACTTAATTAACGATAAATATTAAATTGATCTTTAAATTGATTTAGGGCTTTTAAAGCACATGGCAAGACGAACAAAATGAGGTATGGTTTGTCGATTTTTGAAATTGATACCTCTGTAATCGATCAAAGAAGATAGTAAGAGCACGTGTGTATAGAAAAAATTCCAACTCAAGTTTTTCTGATAATTAAGATATTCGATTTTTGATTGTGAGGTGTCATTTGAAAGCTTGCAGGACCAATTTTCTAATTTGTAAATCTATATCTATCTATAATCTATCTATAATCTATATCTATCTATAATCTATATCTATAATCTATATCTATAATCTATAACTCTCTTAAAAGTATGAGTAGTTTCTTGAAACTTTTGAAGTGCCAAGAATGCCCTTACTAAAGATAAGTTTTAAGGTTATGAATGTAATTTTCTTATTAATGTTAAGAAGTTACAACTAACAATATTTGTTAAATTTTTAAACTTTCATTTCTTAATTTACTTATATTCATTATCTTTTATTTTTTATACTTAATTATATCTTAAAGTTTTTACACATACAAAAAGATTATCTACACAAATTGATAGATTTTAAATAAATAATATATTTTAAATTATATTAATCATAATTAGTTTACATACGACCTATGACGTTAGGTTTCAGTTTGGTTATTTTAAAGGTAGTTTTTAAATGTAAGAGAAGATATTATTTTAAATAAAATATTTTTATTTCATAAGTGTAAAATATATATGCATCAATGAAAATACCATCTATAATTACCAACTATCATGTTATTACTACATAAACTTTTTGTAATAGTATTAAAAAAAACTAAAGAGGACAAATTTGGTGAATATGCATATGTTTAAGGATGATTGAATGAAGAATAATTCTTCATCATACAAACTGTCAATTTTTTTGTGGAATAAAGTTATTCGTTAAGTGAAAAATATATAATCTTAAAATATTTTGTTTAAATTATTCATTAAAACAATATGCATAATATGATTTAAGTTTACCTGTTAATAATAGTATGTCTAACATAATGTTCTTTTATGATAGTATGTGTTACATAAATTAATCTACTATCTATTTTAATTGTAATATAAATAAAAATAGAGTAATTATAAAAATAAAATAAAATAACTAAAACTCTATTTTAAATCTTGAATTTCAAAAAATGTGCACTTATTAAAAAATAGTTACAACTAAAATATGCTAAATATAAGTAAATAATACATTTACTTTAAATTTGTTGTCATTAGCCACTCTTATTTATAAAACTAGCATTAATTTTGTGCACATGCACATGTTAGAATAAATAAATATTATATATAAAAATCATAATTGAAACAAAATTTTACTCAATAGTATTTATAATTGAATTAAATTAAAAACCATTAGTTGAATTTTTATACTTCGATAAAAAAGAACAATAGAATTGTAAAACTTATATATTAATGACTATTATTATATGAATATAATGAATAATCTAATTTATATATTAATGTTGTATTAATAATTAAATTATTACCAAAATAAAGAAATACAAAATATAAAATGGACAATGTAAATCTTATATACCACATAAATTGATCTTTTTTCAGAGAATTATCGAACAAATGATATACATACTATATATATTTATATAATAAAATACGTGTACATTTAGATTATTTCATTGATAATTTTTCACTTATAATTAAGTAATTATATTGGTATTACTTTATAAGAAAAATATTTCGTCATATTAAATATGAATATAATTTTTTTCATTTGCACAAATATGTAGAAAAAATAAAAAACCATTTCACCTCAATTATTACACCTTACTAATTTTTTTTATGTATTTTACAACACTTAAAAAACTAATTTTGAATAAAAATTGATAAAAGATAACATAAGTTTATAAACTAACATTAATTTACATTATTAAGATGGCTTGAAAAGATAGGTAGGATTATTTATCATATATATATATATATCTATATATATATATATTTATCAAATTTTCCTTAGGAAAAAATTTATGAAAATAAATTATAACCATATCAATTTTTTTTTTTTAATTTTTTTCATTTGTAGAGATACCATTATTCATGAAATATATATATATATATATTATTTTATTTCAAATATTTATTTAATTACCAAATTAACAAAAGTGCAATTATATTAGTTTTTAAGATATGACCGTTACAACTTATATTAAATATTAGATATTAATTACAAAAAACACAAATAAAATGATAGGTGAAACATATTAAAAAAACTTAAAAAAATAAGCCGGAAAAGATAGG